GAAAGTGCTGGGATTACAAGCATGAGCCACCATGCCTGGTCACTATTTGTTTCAAAAATGCAAATGCACAGGGAGAAAGAGAATAGTTTGGAGAAGAGATAATATAATAGAAGTTTGAGAGCCTTAATCAGCAACTCAGCATGTGTAAATACAGGGGAAGGGCAAAATCTGCTGTCTATGAGTTTCTGTTTAAAATGGTAGAGGAAGCACATACATTTATTGCCCATCCAATCCCCAGAAATCTCTTGGAAATTACACAGAAAGTCATCAAAGGAAATATATATAATAGCCCTGGAACCCAATAAAGGTTATCAACAGCCGTCCAGAAAATCCAAGTCACTTCTGGAATGCAGAAAGAAGATTAACAGAGAAACTAGAACTGATACGGCCTCAACAGAAAACATGGATAGATGAAGGCTACAGCGGATGTGGGAGCCATTCTTTCCAGCCGCGTCTAAGAGGCAATTCAAGCTTAGAGTCAAAAAATATAAAAAGAAGTGGGCAGAAAGTTAAAGATATGCATTAGAAAGAGTTGGAGCTAATTGAGCCCATCATCATCATTATTGCTGGCCACATTTGCAGAATTGCCCCAAGGCCAAATTCCCAGGACTTGCCTTACCTGGTAAGGACTCCTAATGGGGTTTAGGGAGCCCATCAGAGCCTCCATAATCATACCTGACTTCCACTGAAAATAAGAATGAGAAAAAACGTTTACTTCCTAGTTATGACACAGCATATTTTCCAATATCTTCACTGGAGAAGTGGAGCATGGAAGTTAAGTTTTACAAGATCTTACATGTCTGAAAATGTCTTTATTGCACCTTCACACTTGCATGATAGTTTGGTTTGTGGAAATTGATTCAGGGTTTTGATGGCATCACTCCATTGCTTACTAGAAGCTTCTAGAAGCCTCATGTCATTCTAAATTCTGACTCTTTTATGTAAACTATATTTTCTCCTGGAAACTTTTAGGGCTGCTTTGTCTCAACTGCTCTGAGCTTCATGTATTTGATTCCTTATAAGTCCTTTCAATCTAGAAATTCATATCCTTCCACTGTGGACATTTTTTCTTGAAGAGAGTATACTAGTTCATTCTCGTGCTGCTAACAAAGACATACCCAACTGGGTACTTTATAAAGGAAAGAGGTTTAATGGACTCACAGTTCAGCATGGCTGGGGAGGCCTCACAATCACGGTGAAAGGCAAAGGAGAAGCATAGGCATGTCTCACATAGCGGAAGGCAAAAGAGAACTTGTGCAGGGGAACTCCCGTTTATAAAACCATCAGATCTTTTGAGACTTATTCATTACCATGAGATCAGTATGAGAGAAACCAGCCCCATGATTCAACTATCTCCACCTCACCCTGCCCTTCACATGTGCTGTTTATTATGACTCAAAATGATATTTAGGTGGAGACACAGGAAACCATACCAAACAGCTTATTTGAAACTTTCCTCCCCTATATCTATCTCACTGTTTCCTCCTATTATTTGAAGGATATCTACTAGTTGGACCTTAAGTCTTCCAAAATTATGCTCAAATTCCTGTTTTCTTTCTCTGCAATTTTCTCTCTCTGACTTTTTGGCTGTATTTTTCTGGGAAATTTCTGCAACATTATCTTTCAACGCTTTTATTTATTTATTTTTCTTTCCATTGACATGTATTTAATTTCTGAGAGGATTTTTTATTCCTGAACGTTTCTTTTCTATTACCTCCTTTTCTTTCTTTCTTTCTTTCTTTCTTTCCTTCCTTCCTTCCTTCTTTCTTTCTTTCTCTTTCTTTCTTTCTTTCTTTCTTTCTTTCTTTCTTTCTTTCTTTCTTTCTTTCTTTCTTTCTTTCTTTCTTTTCTTTCTTTCTTTCTTTGAGACAGGGTCTCACTCTGTTACCCAGCCTGCAGTCCAGTGGCATGATCATGGTTTACTGCAACCTCGACCTTCCCAGGCTCAGGTTATCCTTCTGTCTCAGCCTCCCAAGTACCTGCGACTACAAGTATATGCCAACATCCCTGGCTAATTTTTGTATTTTTTGCAGAGATGGGGTTTCTCCATGTTGTTCAGGCTGGTCTTGAACTCCCATGTTCAAGTGATCTTCCTGTCTTGGCCTCCCAGAATGCTGGGATTACAGGCATGAGCCACCGTGCCCGGCACCACCTGCTCTTGTTTTATGAATACAATATCTTCTTTTATCACTCTGAAGATAGTATTTTTGTTCATTTTGTTCTTATTTCCTTCACAGCCTTTCTTTTCTATTTCCTTTTTTCTTTATTTTTTTTCTTCCTTTCTCATTCTTTCTTTCTCTTTCAGCTCTATCTCTATCTCTCTCTTCCTGTTTGAACAGTGGTTCTTAATAGGAAGAGATTTTAGTCCCGAGGGCAATATCTGGAGATGTATTTGGTTGTCTGTCACAACTGGGAATTTGCACTACTGGGATCCAGTAGGTAGAGGCCAGGGATGCTGCTAAATATCTTACAATGCACAGCACAACAAGGATTATCCAGACCCAAATATCAGTAGTGTTGAGATAAGAAAAACCTTGTTTAGAGGCTTTTCTCAAAAGTCTTATTGTCCTTGATTCCTCACTTATATTTTAGGAGAAACACTGAAAAGTGTGATTGGATTGATTGTGTGATTATGAGTGGAACTTGCTGGCTATGAATTTCATGGTGGGTTGATCTGGATATGCAGTTTCACTGTGGGACTTCTTACTCTCTATGTTTATAGCTTTTCTCTTTGGCTAATCAGTTTATTCAGAGAAGAGTCATTCAGTTTTCTGCCTGGAGAGTTTAAGTCTAGTGGCCAATATTCTAGGAGCTTACAGAAAAGTGAGCGACCCAGTATGTAGAGTGTCTTCAGTACAGTCTCATACCCACCTCAGCTGTAGCTGGCATCCCTAGTACCCAGTTCTTCCTAGTTTGGTCTCTGCAGGGAATCTGGCCGCTAGTCATCTTCTCAGGTAGAAAGGGGATGGGAGGGTGATCTAGGATTCTAGTTGCCTCTTATGATATATGTCAAACAATCTATTTTTAGTCCTACCTTCACCCCACTTTCAGAGTTACCTGGTACCTATAATTACAGAGCTTCTTTCCTTTGCATCATCCCCTTGGGTTGCCTCTTGAGGAGGCTGATGCAAAGAAACTGCTTAGATTTCAGCTGTCTCTAATCTGTGAAGTAAGCAACAAACTTTCTTCAGCATTCTAGCTTCCAAAATGTCGGTGCTACTCTTCCTGTCCTTGTGGGCTTATAACATTCTTCCTTTTTCTAACAAGATTTTGAAGAGAGCAAAAATAAACTATGAGTTTAATTGACCATGTGCAGCCAGAAATCTGAATGACTTTCTTTCATAGTCATTTTCTTCACCAGAAATATCATTGATTATCTCCTAGACTGCCTGAGGACTCAGAGTCCTCTTGAAAGAAACATTCTACTTCATACTCATTCATACCCTCTCATCTCTGCAGAATTACACAATTCCTGAAGAGACTTGCAGTTCTTCTCTCTATGGGATGTGTCACAATAAGAAATGTGTCAGAGATGAGACAAGCAAATGTAGCCAGAGATGAGATAAGCAAATGTAGATGTTAAATTTCTATCAGTTTCCCATAAATGGTAACGGTGCTGGGAGAAAGTTTTCTAACAGCCTATACTTTTCTCAAGGCCTTACAGGTGACATCCTTTAAAACAGTAATCTACCTTGGCCTACAGAAGTGTATTATCTATTTTGTTGTTTTGTTACAACTCATAATCCCTAGATATCTCTCATTCAGGCCCGTGACTAGACCCCCGCTATCTACTGGTAGTGCCAAGACATGTTGAAAAGATGACATCGAGTAAAAGAAGCCAGAGAAAAGTTAGCATACAGCTCTGTTCACTTAAGGAATATCAACTAATATTTGTATTAAATATTTTGTTCCCCGTGCTGTCCTTTACATGAATTTTTCCTCAATTAAACCTCAAGACCATCTCATAAAGTTGATTCTTATTATTCCTTCATTTTTAAGATGATGAAGCCTAGATGAGCAAAAGTTAAATAAATAGTTTAAAGCTTCAAGGTCAGATAATCTGAGTCCAGAGCCTACAGTTTTCAACATCGCACTGCACCCCACGCTTGGACGAGGAGAAGAAAGAGTAGAGTGGCCACAGCTACAGCCAGCCTGTACATGGTCATCGTGCCTCAGGGTTTATAAAATGCTGTCACACATGTTGTAGCATTTGAACTCATTTAACACCACAGGAAGCTAGCTAATGCCAAGAGTGAAGTACCCTACACCAGAGAGCTTGGCAGAAATAAAACAAAGAATGAAACCTCTGGGAGGCTGAAAGGAGTGCTTAGGCATTGCTGTTCACTTCACTCCTGTCCTTGTATGAGCCTTAGCCCTGCTGTGTCTGTTACCAGCTCAGCGATTTCCACCATAGCACGCAGTCTTGGTCTGGGTTTGCGTGGAACATTGTTTCTGTTCCTGGAACAGTGGGCAGATCTTGCCAAGAGTGACATGCTCAGGTAAGTTGAGTTGAGATCCTTGCCGGCTCTCCTTGCCATGCTTTGTTTCTGAAATTGTACAGTGGAGGGTAGCATTGGGATCCTTGATTCACAGATCCACAGGCAGAAAGAAAAATGAGAAAGACTAGGGCTCAGTGTCCTATGCTCAGACAGGGCTGTATCAGATCTATTCGGGCCCAGAGGTAGCTAACCTACCAGTCATAAATACTAGAGGAAAATCTTAACAAAATAACTCAGGTATAAAAGTGTAGATGTGTAAAATGTGGGTCACTTTTTTGGGTTTTTTTGTTTTTTGGTTTTTTGGTTTTTTTTTTTGAGACATGGTCTTACTCTGTTACCCAGGCTGGAGTACAGTGGCACGATCACAGCTCACTGTAGCCTCTACCTCCTGGGCTCAGGTGATCCTCCCACCTCAGCCTCCCAAGTAGCTGGGACCACAAGTGCATACCACTGTGCCTGGCTAATTTTTGTGTTTTTTGTACAGAGAGGGTTTCACCATATTGCCCAGGCTGGTCTTGAACTCCTGGGCTCAAGCGATGTGCCTACCTCAGCCTCCCATAGTGCTAGGATCAAGATTAAGGAGTGACTGGGTAGGTCCAAGCAGCTAGCCAACCTTGGGTTCTGCAGGTCCAGCTGTGATTTTATGCCACTGGTGCTGGCGGTTGTCTTCTCCTGGTTAAATATCAATAGGGGCAACTCTGGGTTCTATGGCTGTCTAAGGACCACAGCAAAGATTCAAGGAATCTCTGTGTGGTTGTCAGCCCAATTCAGGAAGATGAGGTCGGGGCGATTCTAAGAACATGGAAACCCCCCTTCCCCTTCTCCGCTTCTGGGGACAGGTTGCCTCTCATTACCCACTGGGCCTTTCCTTCCCTGCCCTTTTCTCCTCTCTCTTTCCTGTTCCCTTGAAGATAAAAGTTGGAGCCTGCTCCCATTTGTGTATGGGAGCTTGGCAAAAGATGGGAGCCAATAACCAAATGCCCACTTCATATTATCTCAAGTGCCTCATAGTGGAGTTTTACAGTACTTTGTTTCAGTTTTAAGCTTACCTGAGCTACTTCTATAAGTCTTAAACAACTCTGCCATAAAGAAATCTTTGCCTTTTACCTAGCAGGTATCCTGTTTTACTTAAGACTGCATCCTCTTATTAGTTCTCAGGGAAGGGAAGTATGATCTTTCTAGTGATTCTTTTATACATAATTGTGTAGTTACCTAACTGCTTCCTGTGTTGACCACATCCCTCAGCAAGCACACGGCAAACGCTTTGAGAATAAGGATGGTGTCTTACCCTTCTTAGCTTCACCCACAGCACCCAACCATATGATGAATATCTACTAGGTGCTAAGTAAATATTTGATAGAAGAAATGGGTGAATGAATTAGATGATTTATTAAATAAATAATCTAACTCAGATTGTTTATCTTTATAAATCTTTTTTATTGGCAACACTTTTATTTTTCCTTACACAATGGTGTGTTGCTGGGGCCTAATGTTCTCACATAATGGTAGAAAACCAAAATTTGTTATCATCTCTTTAAAGAATTGAGAATTCTGTACAAAAAAGAAAAAGAAAAAGAAAAAAAATTACATAAATTAAAAGGATGAATACATTTACAGGTATAAATGCAAACCGCTTCCGACTCAAAGCAAGTAACAGCCCACGGTATTCCAGTAGGAAAACATCAGCTAAGAAAGAAAACTGGGTCCTATGGCTTGGACTTTTCCAACCCTGACAGACCGGCAGGACAGAAACAACTGGTTCAGGAGCCCTTGCCAGCCTCTAGAGAAATCCCAGAACACTCAGCCCTGACACATTAATACCCTGCACAGATCAGAGACTGCTGGCCATGCAGACTTACCAAGCCACAGACTTGTCTTCCACAAGCACGTTCTCACCTCAGCCATGAAGTGACCAAGCCACGTGTACTAAGGCTTGAAATCAAAGATATGTACAGGGTACTGGGTATTAAACAAATACCAAGGGCAACAGTTAACTGGAATACAAGGTTAAAATCAGCAACAAGTTCTATGCTCCAGTGCTGATATCAGATACAAGCTTCAAGGACAATTTCTTTTCAAAGGCTTATTCCGGTATCGTGAGGACAGCATAAGGTGTATGCATTTTCCATGGGCAAATTTATACTTCTGAATTAACCCATGCAGAAATGCTATGCATCTGCTTGCAGTCCATTTAGAAGCATTTGCGGTGGACGATGGAGGGACCCGACTCGTGGTACTCCTGCTTGCTAATTCACATCTGCAGGCAGGTGGACAGTGAGGCCAGGATGGAGCCAGAGATTCACACTGAGTACTTGCACTCTGGGGGCATGATATCTTGATCTTCATGGTGCTAGGTGCCAGGGCAGTGATCTCCTTCTGCATCCTGTCGGTGATGCCAGGGTACATGGTGGTGCCGCCAGACAGCACTGTGTTGGCATACAAGTCTTTGGGATGTCCACCTCACTCTTCATGATGGAGTTGAAGGTACTTTCATGAATGCCACAGGATTCCATGCCCAGGAAGGAAGGCTGGAACAGTGCCTCGGACACCGGAACCGCTCATTTGCCGATAGTGATGACCTGGCTGTCAGGCAGCTCATAGCTCTTCTCCCGGGAGGAGGAGGATGCAGCAGTGGCCATCTCCTGCTCAAAGTCCGGAGCGACATAGCATAGCTTCTCCTTGATGTCGCGCACGATCTTCCGCTTGGCCATGGCGGTGAAGCTGTAACTACGCTAGGTGGGGATCTTCATGAGGTAGTCAGTAAGGTCCTGGCCAGCCAGATCCAGATGCAAGACGGTGTGAGGGAGGGTGTAGCCCTCATAGATGGGCACCGTGTGGGTGACCCCGTCTCCAGAGTCCATGACAATGCCAGTGGTGCGCCCAGAGGCATAGAGCATCAGCACAGCCTGGATGGCTGCGTACATGGCCGGGGTGTTGAAGGTCTCAAACATGATCTGAGTCATCTTCTCCCTGTTGGCCTTGGGGTTTAGTGGGGCCTCCGTCAGTAGCACCAGCTGCTCCTCCAGGGCCACGCGCAGCTCGTTGTAGAAAATGTGGTGCCAGATCTTCTCCATGTCGTCCCAGTTTGTGACGATGCGGTGCTTGATGGGGTACTTCAGGGTCAGGATACCACACTTGCTCTGGGCCTCGTCGCCCACATAGGAGTCCTTCTGGCCCATGCCCACCATCATACCCTGGTGCCGGGGGCACCTGACGATGGAGGGGAACATGGCTCAGAGGACATTGTCCCAGCAAAGCCACTTTTCACATGCTGGAGCCATTGTCAATGAAGAGCGGGGGATCTCTTCTTCCATTGCCACAGGCGGAGGAGCACGGCGCAAAGGGAGGACATGGCGCAGGGGCTGGCAGCGATGACTGAGCATCTTTATAAATCTTATCATAAAACTGAAAAATGCAACACTACATAAAAACTTTCTACTTCTTATGAAAAAAAAAATGCCTCCTTACCTGATCTTTTCTCACAGATTTCCTCAATCTCAGAGCATCAGAGAGAAGAAGAGGCCATCATTCATTCATTCAACAAACATTTATTGAGGGCCTACTATGTGCCTGTGCCAGGCACTGTAACAGGCCTTGGAAAGACAGGACAGCTCAGTGAAAAACACAGCCCAAGTCCTTGCCCTTACTGAGCTTACATTTTATAGGCATTTAGTGGTTAGAAAGTACTACAGACTGAATTGTATCCACTTCCAACCCCAAATTCATATGTTGAAGCCATAACCCCCAATGCGACTATATGTGGAGACAGGGCCTTTTTGTAGGTAATTAATGCCAAATGGGGTCATAAGGGTGGGGCCTTAACCCAGTAGAACTGGTGTCCTTATAAGAAGAGGAAGAGGCCGGGCGCAGTGGCTCACACCTGTAATCCCAGCACATTGGGAGGCCGAAGCGGACAGACCATCCTGACTAACATGGTGAAACCCCATCTCTACTAAAAATATAAAAAATCAGCCAGGCGTGGTGGCAGCCGCCTGTAGTCCCAGGTACTAGGTAGGCAGAGGCAGGAGAACACCATGAACCCAGGAGGCAGAGGTTGCAGTGAGTCAGGAACACGCCACTGTACTCCAGCCTGGACAACACAGTGAGACTCCTTCTCAAAAAAAAAAAAAAAAAAGAAGAAGAAGAAAAACAGATGCCAGAGACTGCTCTCTTTCCACATACAAAGAGAGAAAAGGCCATGTGAGGAAACAGCTAGCAGGTAGCCTCTGGCAAGCCAGGAAGACAGGCCTCACTGGAGCCTCACCTTGAAGGCACCTTGATCTTGGACTTCTCACCTCCAGAACTGCAAGAAAGTAAATTTTTGTCTAGCAAAATACTTAGACTGTGGTATTTTGTTATGAAAACCTGAGTAGATTAATGTAAAAAGTGTCAATGGCTACTGTAAGGTAGAAGAGGAGAAAGGAAAGAAAGGAAATTGCTCACAGAACAGGAACACTGAATGATTGTAATCACTATTTTGAATTTTTTTAAAGTTATTTTACAAGATCCTTTATTCTTTATGGATTCCAGTAGAGGAAAATCGACAACTTTCCATGATACTCCCCTTGATTCCCTGGTTTCCTCAGCACCATCTACAGCCTTTTGCTGCATGGTTATGTCTAATGTTTATCTGCCTCCCGAGGCTCATATAGCACTCCCATAGGATGTCTCGGCCTCGTTCAGACACCAGCTGCTGCTGCTCAGAGGCTGCTCTAAATATAACTGCATTCCTCTCAGGGTTTTCTCTTTTCTCCAGTGAATCAAATGCTTTGATTCTCAGTTCTGGTTTTAATTGACCAACCAGGTAATTTATTTCCAAATATAAATGATCTCCCTTCTGTATTTCAGAATTGTAAAAGACAGTCTGCTCTCCTTTGACTCTTGAATTAAGTAAGCATATACCCCAGCTAATGGCCACATGGGTCTATCCCCTGATCCCTCAACTAAACTCTGGGTGTTTGTATGTGTTATCTATTGCCATTTAATAAATTACCATAAGTGTAATGGTTTTAACAACACACATTTATTATCTCCACATCTGTGGGTCAGGAATCCAGCTGAGCTGGGTCCTCTACTTCAGGGTCTTTCACAAGGATACAATCATATTGGTGACCAGGGCTAGGGTCTCATCTGAAAGCTCGGCTGGGAAAGGATCCACTTCCAAGCTCACTCAGGTTGTTGGCAGAATTCTGTTCCTCAAAGGCTGCTGGACTGAGGGCCTCAGTTCCTTGCTAGCTGTTGGCCAACAGCCACCCTAAGATCCTTGTCACACGAACCTCTTCTTGCTACATGGGGCTCTTGAACATGGCTATTTCCTTCACCAAAGCATGAAAGCCAAGAAGACAAATAGAGAAAATCTGCTAATGAGACAGAGGTTACATGCTTGTAACATAATTATGGAAATGATAGCTCATCACCTTTGTTGTTATCCTCTTAATCAGAAGCAAGTCACAGGTCCACACCACTCAAGGGAGAGTAGGTTCATATGCAAGGAGGCAGGCATAATCGGGGATATCGGGAGGCAGGCATTATCAGGTCATCTCAGAAACTTCCTCCCACAGTACTGGTGAGCAGAAAATAAGCCACTTGTATCCATTACTCATCCCTACATCTCTTCTGCATACTTTCTTATTTCTTAAGAAAAGAAAGCCTCAGGAAGGTGATACTGGTTTGGTTGTGATCATCAATCTCTTAGACATCATAGGTCAATTCTATGAAATTTCTCCGGCACTCCAGACACCTCTTACCATGAGCCACTTGAATGACAAATAGGTACCCTCTACTAAACCCACCTGACATGGGATGTACATAATGTCTGCCAAAAACTACCCTTCCTTTCTCAGGGAATGAGCCATACTATCGGAATTTCTCAAGCCAGAAACTAAGTTACACTGACTCCTTCCTCTCCATCACTCTGCCTTTATGGAGCAAAATATTAAGCATGTATTTCAAAAAAAGTATAAATTATGTGGAAAGAAATCTATGAATGAGGGTAGCTATTTGGTAATGATGGAGATAGGGTAACACAACAAGGGAATTCCCATGTGATTTGGGTAAATTAATTGACATCTCTAAGATATAGTTTTCTCAACTAAGAATGGAGGGATAATAATAGTAGACATAAATCAAGGAATTGTTATGAGGATCACAGGAAATGATATCTGTGAAATGCTTGTATATCTTATATCCCACAAGCCCTCTATATATGTCAGCCACTATATCAGCTGTTAGAGAACCACATTATGGCTGTCATCGTTTGCTCACTAACTCAATAGTGTCTTCTCTCTTACATCCTCCACTTTAGAGACTAAGAAGCTAATTACTCATTTTCCCAGCCTCTCTTGTAGCTGGGGCTTCCCAGGGGACAGAGTTCTCAAAAAGCTTTTGTTTTTCTAATGAGAACATCTTTCTTTCTTGAACAAAGATTCAGTGTCTGCAGTGTCAGCAACCATCTGTGTCCATGAGGTAGCAAGCATTTAGTTGAACATGAGTACGCTAAGGATGGTGGAGTGGAATCTCTGAGAATTCTGTCAAACAGCAGAACCAATCCAGCATCCAGCTACCTGCAGGCTCCTTGTTACCTAAGAACATGAAACCTCTCCAAGTTCAAGCTACTGTTGATCAGGAATTCTGTTATTTGCAGCTGAAAGCACTCCTAACAGATATATTTGTCAGTAGCCTAGAAGTCAAATATCTGAAATGTTAAGTCCATACATTTTGGCTATGATCATAACCTCTATTAACTCAAGGCTTGAAATCCTGTCTCTTTCTACACTGGATAACTTTTTATGTAGTGTAAATTCAGAAAAATTTTGTGGCCTCTCTAATGTTCTCTGTTTGTTCTTCTTGCTAGTTTACTACGTTTACCTAAAAACTGTATCCCTGACAGTGAAAGCAGCCCCACATATTCAAGGCTCCAATATTATGTCAAAGAAGTAGTAAGAAGAGAAAAGGTATCAATACTAAAAAGAGGCAGAACTTCAGAAAGAGACAACAAACAAAAGAGGAGGGAGGGAAATACAGAGATATAACCATATACAACATCAGCCCTTGGTGTTCAAAGTTTTACTTTGTAGTTATATTTTTAGAGATGGGGTCTCATGCTGTTACTCAAGCTGGAGTGGAGTGGCATGATCATAGCTTACTGCAGTGTTAAAGTCCTGGGCTCAAATGATGCTCCAACCTCATAAGTAGCTGAAAGTATAGGCACAAGCCACTGCACTAACTAGTTTTTTTGTTGTTGTTGTTTGTTGTTTGTTTGTTTGTTTTTAATTAATAGAGATGGGGTCTCACCATGTTGCTTAGGCTGATTTCAAACTCCTGATCTCAAAAAGTCTTCCATCTCAGTCTCCCAAAATGCTGGGATTATAGGTGTGAGCCACTGTGCCCAGGCTAAAGTTCTTACAGTATTGATGTTAGATGTTGCCCTCAAGCATACATTTATTACATGACTTTCTCCCACATTCTGTCTCTTCCTAAGAATTCTCAGGAGGGATATTTCAGGATCATAAGACACACACACACACACACACACACACACATATATATATATATATATATATAGACTTCAGACAGGCAATATACAAAGTAGATAAGTGTCTATCCAATGTAAGTTAAGGGCCCAGTGAAAACTTACCTTCTGCAAAATATCTGGTCTATACTCCTGCCTGTAAATGCCAATACCTGGCTGAAAATGCTATCTTGAGACTTACTAATGTGCAGATGACACAGCAATGGACTGAGTCAAGAACTGCAATGTCCACTAGCCACCTGTAGCTATTAGACACTTGAAATGTAGCCAGTGCTATATATTGAAGTTAAGGGCCCAGTATGTCGAATACATTAAATGAATAAGTCAGCAGAGCTTTAATAAACAATCAGATTAACATCCCAGTAGGAGAATTACAATCCCATAAGTAGTAGATTTAAATCCTTACTGGTCCCAAGTTGTGGGTCAGCAAAAGCATTTGCCTGTAGATTTTGGGGGGAACACACAGCCATTACATTGCTTGGTGGTCTCTGTGTGGGTTCCTTTTAAAGTTATTCCTGTTTGAGAGTAGCAAAAGGAGGCATTTTCCAGATGACAAGATTTTGTGTTTTAGAACACTCTGGAAGCCAAAGCCAAAACCTTCCACATTGTTTCAATTAATAAAGAAAAAAAGAGAGACATTTACTTGAGTGTAGAACTACTAGTCAAATTAGAAAGATGTTTAACTCAAACAAATGCTCTAAGTATAGCCCTAGCAGGGCTTCTCCCTCTCTTTGTAGCAGAAGCTGAGCTATTCCAGAACCTTCAGGTCTTCAGCCAGCTTAGTTAGTATAAAAGGGAGGCAAATACACAAGCACTAAACTCTGAATGCAAAACAAAAGAATCCCCTTCTCCCTTAAATCAGCTGGTGAATAGCCAACAGGAAGATCCTCTAGATGACTATCTGTGTGTGAATTAGAAATTTGGAATTTCAGGAAAGCCATCCATAAAGGAGCAGAAAGCTGAGAATACACCTCCTTTGCATGTGGACAGCATCCCAGAAGACAGAATCAAGAGTCAGAAGATAGAATGCTGTGGTGGTTAAACGTTGCTAAGGAACCTCTACCTTGAGAAAAAAGTGTTCCTTTGCTTGTGTGCTTGCTTGTGTTCTTACCCAAGTTGAGTAAGAACTTATCCCGGGGAAAGGTGGCCTGTTTCCTTGGCAGTGCCTATATCTGCGTCCTCACAAAAGAACACTGACTCACTTGGTAGAAAAGACAATGTGATACCCTGATGCTGGTGAAACTGTTCACTGTAAAAGTGCAGTCAACTCTTGAATTCAGTAGGTTCCAATGCTTGACTT